TGATCCTCCTGCCTCAGCCTCCCACATGCTGGGATTACAGGCATACGCCACCATGCCTGGCCATGTTCTTCTTTTTCAACTCAGCTCAAGCATCCTTCTTCCAAGGCGTCTGTCTTACTCTCTCCTGCTGCAAACCATTTTTCCCTCCACCTCACACTTCACTGCCCCTCTCAAAGGGGCACCTCCTGTACTACATGCAGGTGTGCACCTGCCTCCTCTTGTTAGGAGAGTCCTGTGCACAGGTGGGATGTGTTTCCTGTGGACTTTTGCATCTCAGCTCCCCAACATCCATGTTATGATAAAAATAAGGTATGTGTTCGAATTTTCTAAAACATTACCACAGTGAAAGACATATTGCTATTAATCCACCTCAAAATTCTCTCCCTTGCTTTGAACACACTTATTCCATCATTCTTGCCCCTTTTGGGAGCAGTTCTTATAGTCCTCTTGTTTTACAGTAGATCCTATTTTTATTTTTAAATTAATTTTATTTGTACATGATATACAGAATGATCACATTCATCATAAGGAATTTGTATTTGTACATGATATATCTTGATTCTTCTTTTTTTCTCATTCATATCCCCTCCCTTCAACCTTTCTTCCCCTCCTTATTTACCAAAGTGTTTTTGCATTTTCCCTTCTATTTTTTTTTTTTTCCGTTTCCCTTCCTTTCCTTCCTCTGCCCACTCTCTTGCTCCCCTTCAGCATCAAAATGGATGACAGGTACGACAAAATGAATGAAAGAGGAAGAAGTGCTGTTTCTTGAGTGTCTTTATTTACCCTGTCATGGCTGCCACGGTATCCTGAAAGGTTCATAGTGTTTCTCTTTCATGATCATTTTGACTTTGGAGAAGAGGCAGAAGTCACACAGTGCCAGATGCAGTGAATGAGGTGGATGAGAACACACAGTCATGTTTTTATGAGCTTGCCTTTCTGTTGGATGGTGCTGGGCAGTGGCATTCTTCATACTTCAGATCATACCTCTTAAAGACACTCAAGACTGGCAGTGTATATGCTTCATACACATGTACGTAAGGATATATATAATCAAATGTTATGAATCATGGTTAATATTACATTGGATCATTTTAGTTTTAATAATTTCTTATAATGAAAACACTGAAATGATGATGCCTGGAGATCATGAGGTATCCTCCCTCCATAGAGACCTACGTCCATGGAGTCAATCAACCATGGATAAAAAATAGTAGGAAAAGTGTGCATATGTATGAATATGTGAATATGTACAAAGATTTATCCTGTCACTATTCTTAAACAATGCAACATAATAACTATCTATATTGCATTTGCATTTTATTAAGTATTATAATATCTCTATTATTTAGAGCAGTGGTGGTGAACTGATGATGCGTGTGCCACAGCAGGCATATAGAGACCTTTCTGTCTACACGCGAGCTAAGTCACCACAGCAGCCAAGTATCTGGTAACAGTTGTTTTTCTTAAGCTAAAGCCTCATTATTCAGGGTTGGCATGCTGTAATCAACAAGCTGGTTTTGGGTTGCAGTTTGGGTATTCAGTCTCTAAAAGCTTTGCCATCACTGACCTAGAGTATTTCTGTAATCTAGAGATTGCTTAATATAATATACTTTATGCAAATATTACATCATCTTATAAAGTACATTTTTATGCCAATATTACATCATCTTATATGAGGAATTTAAGCACGCTTGGATTTTAGTAGCTGCAGAGGTCCTGGAACCAGTCACTCTGGCTTCCAAGAGGCCATTATATAAATATACTTATAATTTTTAATATTATTCTTTGGAATGGGAACATAGCAAAAACATTTATCCTGACTCTGCAACTCAAGGTGATTTCAGAAAAGAATCAACCTTGAAGATTTTAATTTTGGATTTAAATTTGCCTTTGCAGAAAGGGTCCCTTTTCCTTGACTAACTGCAGAAATAAAAATGTCCACCAGAGAGCGGCTCTGCACTGTTGCTCCAGTGGAGGTTCGAAAGTTTGTGGTCTGGGTTTTGTTTTGGTTTTGTTTTTTTTACATCTATTTCGGCCAGATCATTTTATAAAAACAGTATTAATCTATGCAAAGGTACTACTACTGAGTGCAAGCACACAGACTATAAACCCTTCAGAGCCACTGTATGGTTTTGTTGTTAAATTCAACACATGCTAGTACTTGGAATACGGCCTAGTTAGGAAAAATTGTACAGTACTGCCATTCCTAGTTCGGCAGTACTGTGGTTGTTACATCAAACTAAAACAGCTTGTTGAGGTGAAGGTTTGGTCCCCAGCTGATGGGTTTTTGAAGTTGATTGCATTATGAGGACACTAACTTCAGAGGTGGAGTCATCTGTTGGTAAGATTATGAGGGTAGGATTACTGAGAGGTGATGAAAAGAGGAGCTGGGGCTCAGTCAAAGGGGGAGGGTCATGGGGGAGCATCTTCTTGGTGACTGTATCTGGTCTCCTGCCCCTTACCCTCTGTTCTGTCACTCTCTAATTCCCCACTCCATGAGAGGAGCAGCTGTCCTCCAACATGTCCCTCCAATATGGTGCTTCCACTCTTCACAGGTCTTACAGCAATGGAGCCAGCTGACCATGGATGGAAGCCTTTCAGACTAGGATGGGAAAATAAACCCTTTCTCTCTTTAGTACATTTCCAGAGATGGAAACCTGACTCACACAGACAGACATACTACTGGAAATAATTCCCATGGAGGAGGCTGAGGAATTTGATCTTACCCAGGTAATTCTGGGTAGACTCAGCTTGTTAAAAGGTCTGTATAGTCAGGATTGGTGTCACATGTCTTGAATCTCCGCACTCTGCTGGACTAGGGCAGGAAGATTCCAAGTGTGAGCCTAGCCTAAACAACTTGGCCAGACTCTGTATCAAAATAAAAATATAAAGGATGGCTTGGGATGTAGCTCAGTGTAAAACCCCTAGGTTCAATCTCCAGTATTCCAAATATTATATATATATATATATATATTTATATATATATATATATATTTCTTTTTTTTGAGGAGAGATATAGAAAGAGACATCACACAGTGTCTCTATTATAACCAGGGCTTCCATCTTGGAGCTACAGAAGTGAGAGCCCAAGAGTGGTCTAATTCCAACATACTCTTTGGCCTTCACATTCACAAGTACCCCTGTTTTGTTCCTACTCAGACTCTATAAACATCAAGAATTCAGTGACTCTAGAACTCTGCAAGCACAGTATAAAATTCTACTTCCTGCTTGTCTAAAGATCTCTCCTTTGGCTTTTCTTTATCCAAGTTTCCTTCCAGGTAGACTAACAGGTGAGTGTCCAGGTATGCTGACAGGTAAGCGAGGGGCTGCCTTTTTGCCAGTCTCTTCCCACCGGCCGTGTGTAGGTCAGCTTTCCTGTCACTGGGACATAATACCTGACACCCATAGCTTAAAGGGGGAGAGGTTTACTTTGACTTATGTTCTTCAGGGATTCAGCCCATGGTGAGCAGGCTCCACGATAGGAGCACCAGGGTGGAAGGGTGTGGTGGAGCCAAGATGCTTTGTTCATGGTGGCCAGGAAGCAGAGCAGAAAGACAGTGTCAGAAAGGAAGGAGTGAGCAAGGGACCAGATAGAGACTGCAAAATCATGTCATTATGACCCACCCAGACGTACTCAGAAGTGAGCTCCAGCCATCCCCCAGGTAGCTCCAAAGTCAATCATGTTGAGCCTCTACCTTAACCACTATAGACCCTAACTTGCTGTTGGTCACTGCAGCTTCTTTTGACCTCTAGTGTGTGAACTTGAACTCTCACCCCCTTCAGACAAACTACCCTAATCCAAACCACCAGGATGCATAAGAATTTTACTCTTTAAACAGGAAAAATAGCATAAAAATTATTATGGGCCAAAGGCATGGGAATATTAGACTCCTACAAAAACTTTCTGATCCTTGATTCTCTGTGATTCTGTTGCCAGATGTTAGACACTTCTGATGCTGTCTTTTCACTTCTTATACCAAGCCCTTGTCAAGTGCCTGTGGCAATCCACTTTCTCCTCCCTGCCAAGAATCAAACTAGCAATCACATACTGTCAGGTGGGGCTGATTCTTCAGGGTAAAGCAGCTTGTTACAGAATCATGCCTTTCAAAAACTTTGAAGGAATAAAACAAGCCACAGATTGGTGGAAGAAGATGTTTCTGAAAGATGTATCCAGCAAAGAAGTAATATTCAAAACAAAGTTTAACAGTCAACAATACAAAATCAAAACAGTTCCATTTAAAAATGGACCAAAAACATTAACAGACAGTTCACTAAAAAAAGGTATACAAATGGCAAGTGAGTGTTTAGAAAGAGGCCCAACACATGTCATCAAGGAAACACAGGGTCCAATAAGATATCACTACACACTTGTTAGAATGCCCAAAATCCAGAACCCAGACTACACCACATACTGGCCAGGATCTAGAACAAGCAGTTCCTCCATTCGCTACTGGTAGGAAAATAAAACAGTATAGCCGCTTTGGAAGACAGTTTCCATTTCTTACTACTTCATACTATTTCTTACTATGAAACATAGTTTAACCATATGATTCAGCAATCACTATCCTTGGTATTTACCCAAATTATGCTGAAAATTTATGTCCACACAAATCTGTGAACAGATGTTTATAGCTATATTCTATACTTGGAAGCATCCAAGATGTTCTTCAGATGGTAAATAGAGAAAAATAACTGAGATATATCCAGACAAGGGGATGTTATTCAGCATTAAGAAATACTATTCAGCCATGAAAAGATGTCCCTGAGTGAAAGCAATCAATCAGAGTAGGTCACATACTGTATGGTTCCAACTATACAATGTCCATAGCTAAATGTGTTATAGAAGATGGGGCCTGGTTGCAGGAGGTCACTGGGAGTGTGACCTGGAAGGGTGTATTCTTGTCCCTGGCTCCTCCTTCTGTCTTGGCCTCCTGGCTGCCATGGAGTCAACAGCTCTCCTCTTTTCTACCATGTCTCTTTTTCTTTGGAGCCAACTGACTGTGGTCTAAAACCGTAAGCCAAAATACATCTCTCCTCTTCCAGTTTTGGATGTTGGGTATTTTGTCACAGTGACAGAAAAGCTGATGAATATATCCTCTTAAACAAAAAACAGTAATGCAAAGAATCTAGGCTTTAGCATGTATATTGTAACCTTAAATTAAGGAAGCAAAGTCCTATAAAGAACATGTCTGCAAAAGGGAGTAAAGAGTAAAACAGGAGATTAGCTGGCAAACTCATCCAAGGTCTGCACTGAGGGGCATGGGAGAGCTGCACTCAGAACACACATGGATTGAGATTGCATGTCAGCTTTATGGACTATGTATTTTAGAGATAAGTCATGATATGGCAGATCCATTATGTGCTTCTGTATCTTAAGTCTTAGCTGGTTTGGGTGTGCTTCAGTTGAATAGCAACAGTGGAGCCAATTGAGGCACATACTTTTAAATTCTCTACTAGCCACATGTAAAAGCACAAAGGAAACAGGTAAGAAAAATGTAATAACATATTTTCCTGAACCCAACGCATCCAATATATTATTACTTCAACATATAATCAATGTAAAAAATTAGCAGTATATTTCACATTCTTTTTCATATTAAATCTTAAAATATGGCTTATGTTTTATACTTAGAGCGTTTCTTTATTGACATTTAATTAATAATAATTGATCTTCAAATTTTTTCATCAAGAAAGAGATTCACCCTGTCCCAAACTTCAATAGCTTTACCATACTGACTATTTTAAATTTAAATTACTTAAAATGAAGAAGTCAGTTCCTCTGTTGGTCTAGCCATATTGCAAGTAGTGGATAGCTATTCATGTCTGTCAGCCACCATTTTGGACAACAAAGATTTAATCAGCTGATAATTTGTTGTGGCTACACTGAATAATCATTGTAGTTAAGTCAAATGAGTCTGGCTGCAATACTTTATTATCACATTTGTGTAAGCAATAGTTAAGGAGAACTCATTATCACTGTAAAATTTGGTAACTGATAAAAGTTCAGGCTACTACTCTATGAGACCCCAAAACAGCTTTTGCAGGCCTAACTCTAATGGGCACACATCAAGCATATGGTCAGGTGAAAACAAACAGGTCAATTGACGTGGATCTGTTTCCATTATTTTTTAAGATCTGTACCGGGGTGAATAATGCCCACACTGTGGGACTCAAATAAAAATCACTTTCATTCCCAGACCTTGTAGAACTAAATACAGAGTAAAATTCCCAAGTGGGCCATCTATGCTGAAGAATTAACAGGTTGCTTGAATTAAGACAATACATAAAGTATTAGCAGACACTTTAACACTGTAACAGAGAAAGAATAGTTGAATGAAAATGAAATCCTTACAACAACAAAATGCAGAAGTTCGTCTTCATTTATTTCATTTTTCAGTTTTCTGAACAAAGGCTGCATGGCTTTGCAGGGTCCACACCAGGCTTGGTAAACATCAATCACTAGATGATAACAGAGCTCGTGAAAAACAGAGACACAGAACCTAGACACCAGCATGGCCCCAGCTTGGGCAGAGGCCAGGGCCAAGAGAGCAGGACTTCAGGTTTGGGGTTAGGGGCAGGTGGTGCTCTGCAGGGTGTCCAAGTGACCTGGGACAATGGGACCTGGTACCTGTCAAGCCTTTGTTCTGCAGCATCTCGTCCCATAGGCTTTGATTGTTGATGACAGTCTGCAAAAAGCAAGATGTTATGGCTTGTGTCTAGATGTCCCCTTAAAGCCTCATGTTTTGGGGCATCTCAGATATGGCTGGATCTAGGGTTGTGATACAGGGATTAAGGGTGTGATAACTAAATGGATTTAGCACAGTTCTGGGTGTTGAATAATGGAAGACCCAGCTTGGGTGTGGGAGGCCCCAATCAATAGGTTTATAGCCTGGATGGAATATAAGGTGGGAGAAGGAAGGAAGGCTTGCTACTTCCTTCCTTCCTGTTTCTCCTCTACCATGTTCCTGTGCCATGCCACCCTGCCTCAGAACCAGCTGATTATGAACTGAAACCTCTGCAAACTGCGAGCCAAATAAACCTTTCCTCCTTTAACTTTGGATGTCTGGAATTTTGTCCCACCAATGAGAAAAGTAACTAAGACACAGATGCTGTGAAAGGTCTTCAAGTGCCAGGGCACCAGGTGCTGCACTGGTGACGTGTGTCCAACCCACCTGTAACTGCACTTCACCTCGCTTTTTGCCGGCCATTTATCTGCTCTCACAGGAAAAAGGAAGAAAAATGCAAATCATTCCAAGGAAATTTGAATCATGTTGTCTTTCTACATTCAAACAGCCTCTTAGCATACTGTGAAAATTTCCCTTTTCCAAATATCGGATGCCTCAGGCTCACTGAGGAGAGGACTCAGTTCGTAGACAGCCCTTTTCCTGCTGGACTCTATGAGGTGCTCACAGCTGCCACCCCAACGTATCCTCCCAACTGGCCTGGACAAGGGAACCAGTCAGTAGCTCTGAGCTGCTTAAATGGTCTTGTGTCTTCTGAAGGGGAAAGGAGCATTTTCCACATTTTCATTTGCACACAGGCTAATTGTGGAGTTCTGCCTACAACGAGGCTTAATTTTTAGATCAAATTACTTGTGCTTTCTGAAGGACAGCATATTCCACACATGAGGCCAAGACTCCTTCAGCGTGTTCAGGGACCTTTGGTGTGACAGGAGGCACTGGCCTAGAACAAGGAAAGACCCCAGGAGATAACACCCCAATAAAGGTTTCAGGAACTCCAAAGAAAGGGACCCTGCGCTCACCTTAGGACAGTTGACCAAAAGGGCTGCTCAGAGCACCACCTCAGCTGCGGGTTGAGGACACGGGCCCCCGCTGTGCCCCTCAATGGTAGTTCTAAAAAAGACAAAAGGGACTCAGGCGTCCGGAAGATGAAGGGCGCCAACGTTTCCGCGCGAGCGAGCCGGAGTCACCCTCCCCGCGGGGTCGCGAGGTCCGGCCCCTGTCCCAGCCCGCCAGGGAGGCCTCTTAGAGCTGTTTCAGGGAAGAGACAACGCAGTGTTTCCACCTCCACCAAGTTCCTCTTCCCAAACCTGCCTGAGTTTCCCCACGAGCCCCGCTGGGTTCCCACGTTCAGGTCAACTGTGTCTCTACCGCGCAGGCTTTGAGACCTTCCGTGACCATGCTTTGCAGGTAAGAATACGGTATTTAGGCTGGATGCGGTGGTGTTAGACTGGAATCCCAGCACTGTGGGAGGGGTGGATCATCTTCCCCCTCCCACTCCACTCTCTTCCTCCCTAGAAGGCAGACTCTAAGACGTTCTCTTTTTTTTTTTTTTTTTTTAAACTGTTTAGAGTTCTGCACCCACAAATATGTTACCAAAATGGTGGGCAGCGTTCTGACGCACTCAGCTATGCTAACCAGACCTTTGATCCCACGAACCAGGGTGCGTCCATACAGCCTGCGTTTCATCGCTCGCAGACCTTGCTCAAAGCTGCCCTTTGTGCCCACCAGTGTCCCTTTTCGTGGCCTAGGGTGGGCTGCATGTCCTGTACTGCTTTTGGTTGAAGTGGCCCCTCTAATCTGACAGCTCTTCTAGACAGTCTTTGACTTTTACACTGCTGACAAGAGTGCCTTTCTTGTTTCACTGAACATCTCATTTGTAAAATTTATACCAAGAATATTTTTTAAAGTAATTTTTAACATCCCTGTGATTAAAAATAATAATGGAAGAATTTTAATCATCTCTAAGGGCTCATTAGTGTTAGCATGTTCACATGGTTATGCAATCATTCTCCAAAACTGTTCAGGTCCCCAAACTGGAGCTCTACACCCATGAAATAAAAACCCCCATTGACTGATCGGCAGGCCCTCTTCCTGGTTTTGACTGGGAGCTAACTGTGACAGATATTGTGTGTGTGTGAGGTTTTGTATCAGATCTGTGGCAGTGTATCTACTTTCTGTACCTTTTCCTGGCCCCATCAATAACCAAGGAGCCAGACTAGTGGGATGTTAATTTCTCAGTTTAGCTCTCCTGTTTCCTATGGACAATTGGAAATCCATATGTGTCTGTGGATGGCATAATCCTGGGGCTTGAATTTATCATTGTGACACTGCATTATAAGAAACATATTTGGTCTCCAACCCAGGTCTTGGCACAGAGCTCCTAAAACCCTTATACTTTTTTAAGTGATAGATGTGCTAAGAACATCTTTGATTCTGCAATCTAACCTTTGCCCTCAGGTCCAGACACAGAGCTCCTAAGTCCTTTGAAATTTCCTGGATAGTAGAGGAGCGTTCTGTTCTAATGAAGCAACCAAGTACACTCAGCTTCAGGATGGGAATTGGTCACCAGGAACACCAATGATTAGAAGCTTGGAACTTTTAGCCTCCCCCTCTTATTCATGGAAGGAAAAAAGAGTAGACGTTTATTTTAAAAATCAAACTGCCTGCATGATGAAGTATCCATAAAGTCCTGTAAATGAAGTTTGCAGAGCCTCTTGGTAAAGATATCACCAGATCAGAAAACCACACACAACTCCACAGGGAAGAAACTCCTGCACTAGAACTAGAAGCTTTTCATATGGCTGTTCAACTGCATCCTTTATCATATCCTTTATAAGAAACCACTACTCATATGTAAATATTTCCCTGAGTTCTGTGAACTATTCTAGCAAACTGTTAGACCTGAGAAGGGGATTGTTAGGACCCCCAATTTAAAAGTAAGTTGGACAGAAGTGTGGATAACCTGGGTACCTAGTAGTTAAATTTTGCATCTGAAGCAGGTGGCAGTTCTTTGGGACTGAGCCCTTATCCTGTGGAGTCTGTGCTAACTCTAAGTAGTTAGTGTCACAACTGAGTTGTGGGGTGCTCCATTGGAGTCTGGAGAGAGGGAGAACAGGATGATGTGTGTAGGGGGAGATGACATATTTTGGTGAACAGAAGAAGCGAATTTTCTTTCACTTGTTGACTTTTGATCCACAGAGAATTCCATGTGAATGCCACAGTTCCCTTGCCTAAGCTAGTATGTGTAAGTGTGTGGGAGACCTTAGTCTCACTTCAGAAACAGGCCACTGTCTCTTTATTTCTAGTGGCATATTTCTAGCAGTCATTCCCACGACCTGTGAATTTGAAGCTGAACCTTTGCTTTTCAATCTGTAGAATGTGGACATACAGGGATATGGACACCGTAATCCCAGGCCATCTTGTAAGCCTAGGTCTCCTCTTTTTTTTCCGGTACTGGGAATCGAACTCACGACCTTGCACTTGCCAGGCAGGCCCTGTGCTGCTGAGCTAAATCCCCAGCCCCTTAGGTCTCCTCTCAGATACTGTAGTTGTGCCCTTTTATATCAGTTTGCTGACAACCTAGCCCTGGTAAAACTGCAGCTATAGAAAGCAGAGAAGACTCTTTCTGAAGTAGAATGTGGCAGAATGAATGGGTACTATATGCCCTTTCTAGATGGAATAAAGCCCTATTCAGACATGTTTTAATAGACAATTCTGCTCACCCCAGGGATGAGGATCTTGTTTACAAAGTTTGTTGTGTTCTTTTACCCTGTGGTTAGTTCCTAAATATCAACCCATATGTAAGATTTGGGATGAAATATTCTTTTTTTTTTTCTTTTCTTTTATTGTTACTGGAGTGTTTGTGTGTGTGTGTGTGTGTGTGTGTGTGTGTGTGTGTGTGTGTGTTACTGAAGAATGAACCCAGGGCCTTTACACTGAGTCACATCCGCAGGTCTTTTTCGATTTTTTAATTTATTTTGAGACAAGATCTCCCTAATTTGCCCATGCAGTATTGGCATTTGTGATCCACCTGCCTCAACCGCCCAGGCCGCTGCTGGCATTATAGGCATATGCCACTCCAGCTGGCTCCAAATTTTCTTTAATGAAGTGTTTCTTGTTACTCCCCAAAGATGCAGTTACATAGGTGCCTACAAGAAGAGTTTAGTAAGTGCCACAAATGGGCGTGCAATTATTTCAGGCAAAATTTTCACATAACACTTTTGGTTTTTAAGAGGAAACACTGCAGCAAAAATAAATTCTCATTTATTCTTAAATAAGAACAAATATTAGTTGGATGCAGAATGTCCCTGAAGATCCTTAGATTGAATGCTTGGTCTCCGGGTTAGTGCTATTAGGAACTGGAGGAGTCTTTAGGAGGTACCACCCTTAAGTCTTTGGGGGACATGCCCTTGATGTGGGGGTGCCTGTTTGTTTTTCTCTTTTGCTTCCTGGCCATGACAGGAGCACTTTGCTCTACTGTGTGCTTCCTGCCATACCATTCAGATCACCAGCAAGAGGCCAAAGCAAGGGGTCCACCCTGTGTGAGACTGGAACCTCCAAGACTGTGACCAAATGAAATCTTTGCTCTTTTTCTTATAGTCACAGAAAACTAATAACACACTTAACATGACCCATACACAAGGCAGCACGTAAAGTCATTCTTTTTAACATCATCATTCTACAGTAGTAAAAGACTTTGAAACACAAACCTCATGAGATTTTGATTTGGGTCATACTAGAATTGACTTCAAGGACAAAAGCACTCTGAAAATGTTAGTTAAGAGAAATTGTGTTGATATTTTATTATGAGAGGCTATACTTGCCAAGTAGCCTCTGAGCAATACTAATCCTAAAGAAATCTTGTTTTACTCCTTTTGTATATCTAAAGTTACCTCTTCAGATTCATTAAAGGTGCTCTCTCCCTTGACGATCCATCTTTTTGTTCCTTCATGCAGCAGTGTGTATAGTGTTCAGCTTTGCTCTTGAGGCATGTTTATTGAAACATAATTGTTTTGTCCGTGTGTTCCCAAGCTCCCTCAGTAGGTATCGTTATGGCTTGTATCTAGATGTCCCTCCAAAGCCTCATACGCTCATAGGTGGAACGTTGGGGAACATGTCTGGATCATGCTTGTGTGGTGCTGGACTAGGATGTGTGATACTGGGATTAAGGATGTATGATAACTAAGTTAGTTTAGCATAGTTCTGGGTATGGATAAGGAAATCCCCACCCTATGTGTGGGTGGCACCAATAAGTAGATTTTTACCCTGGATGGAATGCACAGTGACAGAAAGAAAGCAGGCTTGCTGCTTCCTGCTTCCTGCTTCCTGCCTGCCCTACCATGAACTGTTTCTTCTCTGCAATGCTGCCCTGCCTTGGAAAGAGAGCTGACTATAGAGTGAAACCTCTACAAACTACGGGCTAAAATAACTGTGAGTGATTTTGTCCTAGGAATGAGAAAAGTAAGCAAGACAAGTGTGAAGGCCCAGAGAATAGGAACTGGGTTGCAGAATTATTTACTCTATTCCTCTTGGAGTTCTTCTCTCTGGCGCCTACTTCCACCATTTGTACTTAAACACTCAGAGGTTAGTTAGCAAATTAGTGCATTTAGAAATAGCAGATATTCTTGGTAAACCTATGAATTCTTTAATTAGGATAAAAAAAACCTCTGGATTCTACCAATCTTTCTAGATAATGAATTACATCTTAAGGAAAATAAATTATTTAAGAAATCTAATTTCACTACTTCAGTTAGAAATAAAAGTAAACTAATTTTCTGGTTGACAGCATTGTATGCAACTTTTTGTTAACTTTTCCTATTTCCTTCAGACAAAAGTGCCAGATTCTAAATCCAATTTAAAATGTCACCCGGTAAATAATTCTGAACATATACTTTCCTCTCTTCAAAGAAATACAAAAATAAGAACACTGAGAATAATGAAAATGCATAACATTAAAATTTTCAGACTGCAGAAACATATTGCTACCATAGCCTACTGGGAATGGCAAGATCAATGGGTCTGGACTGGGAAATAATTATGGGCAGTCTCTGAGGCTGAGCAGATCTGCTGGCCTGAAATGAATCAGGAAGCAGCTTTGAACATCCCTGTCTACCTCCTGGCTTAGCGATTTAGAAACTTGCAATAAACCAGAACAGCCACCATTTTTCTCCAGTTTAGGCACTGATTTGT